TTTTAACCTCCAGTCCCCTGATCATGTTTGTTGCTCTACTTGTAGTATTCCAAGTGTAGTTTAAATTTGGAGCACGTGGAAAGCGTGGGAGCCAATATAGTTGCAAAAGGGGAGTGCGAGAGGGGTCTCCCCTTTCCCTTCCCCAGTTTAAATCCTACATCCGTGTAGCCACTCCATGTTGCTCAGGATGGCAGCTGTAGCTAGGCAAACCTTACACCTTTCAATAAATGGGTTACTTGGAAAGGGTGCCTGTAAACTCCCTGGGATTTTGAGATGGGAGCAAAGGAATGGATTCTTCTTTTACCTGCTCTCCTTTATTGGGATTTTTCCAGTCCAGTTAAGGAGATCTTCAGAGGAGTGAAGAAGGAGAGGTTGGCAACTGAAGACAGTAAGTCCCTCTCTGGATTTCAGCTGATGATGATGATCATAATTCTGAGTGCTGGAAGACTCACCCTTAGGTGTGAATGAAAAAGGAAGTGGGAAAGGGTCGTTCACTTTCTGGGGAGACTTGCTCCTCTGCTGACTCAGGGACACCATGCCCGAGTCCTAAAAATAGCAGTTCAAGCAGCCTGGGCCCTTTTTTAAAAAAACAAAAACTTTCTTTTTAAGATGAGTTGGCAATTGTAGCAGCTGAGTCTGAAGTTTTCTGCTTTCTCGGAGTGAGAAATATCCATGTGGGTTATTAATAGAGTCATTACCTTGATCACCTGCATTTCAGTAGGCGACAAAAGCTTTCCAAGAGAAAAAAAAACCCCGGAAAACATGAAACAGCAAGGTTTTTAAAACCTTGGGTTAAGGTTATGTTTTTTTAAGGTTTTATTTTTTTCTAATAATAATAATAATAATAATAATAATAATAATAATAATAATAATAATAATAATAATGATAATGATGATAATGATAATGATAATGATAATGATAATGATAATAATAATAATAATAATAATAATAATAATAATAATAATGCTTAGTAATTAAATCAGCCCAAAGGAAGTACTAAATAACACGTCTCAACAAATTAAAAGCCATGTGTCTTGCTTAAGAGCTGTTACATACCAGGATTGTAAAATCAAATAAAAAAAAATGTAACTCTTTGCTGCCATCTGGCCTCAGTTCTGCAAGAAAGAAGGAGAAAAATGGTCAGAAGCTAAAGTAGAAAGTCTCTTAAAGCTACTGAAAAGAAGTTGCTTCTCCCAAACCATTGACCCCAAAGATGTTGAAACATCTGCACTGCCATGTTCATTGTTTTCTTATTTAGGATCTGCAAACAATTGCACATGCCTAGTAAATATCCTTTTAAATTTGCAGAAAGACACCTGGTGAATTTAAGCCATTGGCCCAGCTTCACTTATGAATTCACTGGAAACGTACAATTTAACTGCAGGTGCCTAAACTTTTTCAAGTATACATATATACTTGAAAAACTATACATACATACATACATACATACATACATACATACATACATACATACATACATACATACATACATACATATACTAAACTTCTTAATCACCCATCTACCTCATAGAAGACTCTGTATGCTTATTGAATAAATAGATATGGATAATTAGCAGCAACACCAGCATGATATATTATTATTATAATATATATTACAGTGAAATTTATTGATTTGACAACAATCCTCCATAGGTCCAAAGCTATTGCTGTAGCCTTATGATTAATGCCATCAATTAAAAAAAGGTATGCCTCCATTATTCCTTGACCATCTTGTTTCAGAAGCAAAGGGATGAATAGCTTGATGCTTCACTGGTCCAAAATCAGTTTGGCATTTCAGATCTTTGCCCTTCAGCTTCAAGTGTTGGCCATTGTTCCCTTTGATTGTCAGATGTTTTAGAAAAGGTCAAAGGCACAGTGCTATCAAATACCTGTTTCCCGATGAGTGTCTTGAAAGTGCCTTCTGTGTCCTTGAAGTGTGAAGGAAGAGAAAAGCCCTTGAACGACCAGTAGACCCACCAGAGTTAGGGCAAGATCCCTTTAGGGCAGGGG